GTTTGTGAAAAATACAAGGCACCGCCTACCTGCACTCTTTTGAGAATCCTGTCTTTGTCTAATCAGTTGGTACTCTGGACATGTACATACAGTCTTCGAGTGTAGATATACATATATGGGCTAGCCCATACATCTAGCCGGCTGACTCCTCACGTGGGCTCTTCCTCTGTGGGTTTGGGCTGATCATATCTTCAATGGTATTTAATAAGTATATAATTGTAAAGTTGTGAGCTTTATTCAAATGCGTGAATTGCAGCAAAATATATATATATATATATAAATATAAGTAACTTATATAAGAAATTAATGAAGAATGTGGAACAAATGACTGTAATATTTTTTCTACAAATAAATGATTTAATTTATTTCATACCTTCGTTAATGGCGAGTAATTAATGGGTTCTTGATTTAATTAAGAAAAAATTAAATAAATGTAATCGATAATTGCTATTTAAATCCTAATAAATTCCATTTTAATTTGGTTTAACACTTGAGTTATCCGTGAGATAGTCATGGAGGATTCGTCTCAGAGTTCCTTTTCTTTTGCTCATCTAAAAGGTCGTCAAAAATCTCACCCATGGCGGAAATCGAGCCACGTCATCAGTATCTGTGAAGTGGAGCAGGCGTCAACATTTGAATCATATCGTGTATTTTCGACTTCTACGATTTCTCTTCTCCAAGCGTCAAAGCCTGACTCCTAAGCCAGTGAGAAGCTGAAAATGGCGAGTAGCGGGTTAGCTGCGGGGTTGAAAGCTCTGTTCATGGTGTTAGGCTTCATGATGGTCGCTACTTTCATTTATACTGTCGCTATTTACGGTCTCCCTCACCGCGACGAGCTCCTCTCTCCGTTCGCATGCCTCTCTCTCTCTCTCTCTCTCTCCCTCTACATTTTGTTTTGGGTTGTACTGATCAAATAATCTTCTGATTTCTCTTTTAAAAATTATGTATTTCAGGTGGTCAGTGGCAACTTTTGTTGATTTCTGCATTAACCTCATGGCTTTAGTGGTATGTAATTAATTGTTAACTATTCACACACACACACACCAGATACATGTATATAATTTGCTTTTGTTGATACTGCTAGGCTTGGGTTTCCTACAAGGAATCGAATTGGTTTAGTGCATTGCTGTGGATAATTCTTTTAGTTGTCCTTGGCAGGTATTAGTACTATGAAATTTTGATTCTGTTCCTGGTTATATTCTTATCTCTGGCTTTAATGTCTGCGAGTTCGGTTCTCCAGTGTAGGAACATGTGCCTATGTTCTTGTCCAACTTCTCAAGTTGACATCTCCGGATTGTTTACAAGATCCCATGTATCATCTTCTCTTACGGCATTCAAACCAGTACAGTACCACACTCAAAACTCTAGATTGTGTAAATTAAGCATGTATCGCCATTTAAATTAACTGCTCTATCTCTGGTCTCATGGGTTTTACTTCCTGGTTTCCATATGATGTGCCTGAGACCGCCTTGGGAAAATCATTTTTTGAAATTTCTTCAAATCGTCAGCTTGTGCTAGGAGATTGGAATCCAGTCAATATGTCAATGTGGGTGTGGGGCATTGTTTTCCAGCCCATTTGGTTGCTGGAACTTTCGAAGAAGGGATTGAGTAATTTTTTTTTTCATTTGATAGATTGCATCTATCCTTAAGTCGCATCATTCTTATCTAACAATTGAGGGGAGATCGCGAGCTCAATGTGAAGACTGATTTGAAACTCTGGCCTTTCCCCTGACACCAATATACCAACTTAGCTTAGTAGACCTGAATAAAGGGTGTCTGATCAATTTTCACTTCATTGGATATACCCCCCCTTTGTTTTTGCACAATCCATCTCTAAGAATGCTGTATTTTATGCATCACAGGATTCAAGGTACATTATAGAATTGTTAATGATTTTTCACTTAATTTTTTCTTTTTCAAGCCTTGGAAGGCTTTTAAATTCACCTTGCATTGCTTGATTCAAGAGCAAAGCATGGTGGGTCCTGTCTTAGAATATTTGGTTCATATTGGGGTTTAATTTAGAGAAATGGTTAGATTCTGCTTCTTTACTTGGTAATTAATGCATCCATGTGGTTTCACTGGCTTACATGCATCTAGCTCTTCTTTGGGACACGTGCTTTCTACTCTACGTGCCCCAACTTTCTGTCAAAACCCTCAACTTTCTGTCTCACTCTCTCTCTCTCTCCCTCTCCTTTCTTCTCTTTACATTAAAGTTTAATTTCTTATTCTTTGGTATATCTATTTAAACAGGAATGCTGTGGAATGTAGGGCAAAATATTCACCTATTATCATAGCAAGAATTGCTTTTAGTGCTTTGGGTTGTCTAATGTTGGGGACTTTACTTTACACTCTCTTCACTTACGGTCACCCTTTCCGCAAAGAGCTTTTAACTCCGTAAGTTTCTGTTTTTCGTATACTTGTCCTTATATGCTTGCTCCTTTTTAATTAGAGATTTGTCTAAGAAGCATAAATGAAGATGATGTGAAAATAGCAATGACTGTAGAAAGAAAATAATAAAGGTGGTTATATAGTATCCATTTTGGTGGTACTTATTATGTAAAGTATTCTTAATCATTTTGCTATAGTTTTTTGAAATAGTTGGTTTGCATGAAAATAGAAGTTTGCAGCCTGCTGTTCTTTTTTCTCCTTTTGTTCTAGGATTTGTTTTTAAAGTTAGGAATTTATCCTCGTATTTTCCTTGTAGATAACCCATTATGAAAATATTTACAACCGGCATAGATAACAAGCACCAATATGTCTCAAAGCATTGCAGATGATTTTGAACATTCTTCGTCTAATATACTGGTGTTGAACAGGCAACAATGATGATGGCTACTAAATCACATGCATTTTCGAATGTTTTGGGGACTTCCTTCTTCTTTTTGTTGCTAGTTGCATCACATACTTTTGCATTTTACATGCATAATGTGTTTAAACAACAATGTGCAACATATTTGTTTCTTTTTTACTTTATGAAGGTAATTGTACTGTCATTGGAATATAATTTTTTGCTAAAATTGTTGCAGGTGGATGGTAGTCTTGCTAATTAACTTCTATATCAATGTTGTGGCTCTATCGGTATATTCAAACAGCCCTATAAATAGTTCTTTAGCACCATTCAATCTGGAACTTTTCAATCTCAGTTATTGTCCTTTTCCCAGGTTTTAGCAACCTATAACTGTAGAAGTTTGCGTTCTCTAGTGAACCTATTTGAAGGTTGTGCCATATTTTAGTTGGTGCAAAGAAAAAAAAAAGAAGAGAAAAGTGTACTCGGAAGGCAGGAATGCCATCTGTATAAAAGCTAGATCCATTAAAAAAACCTATAAGGTCCACAAGCTTCCAGTATGAGTGAGAGTGTGGTCATAAGACCAGGAGTAATGATCACACAGCCAAATATCCTCTAACTCTATGAAAGGATTGTCCACCCCCTCAAAGACTCCACTTTTCCTTTCTTTCCAAATGGACACCAAGATGGACGAGAGTTTAGAATGACTGCCTTTTTGCATGGTAGCCAGTTCAAGCTCATTTTTGTTGGTGCAGTTTTAAACTTATTGAGCCCAGACAACCTGTATATTGGCATTCATTGATCAGTTAATTTTTATATGATTTCCTTGTTCTCTTTATATGCTTTCAGGTTTGGGTTTTCTACAAGGAGTCAGGTTGGATCAGTGCAATTATTTGGATAATTCTATTTATATGTTTTGGCAGGTAACCTCTACTTTATGAGTTCTAATAATCAAAACCTTTATTTAATTTCTCTACTAATGTCATTATGTTGAACATAGAGTTCAAATGTTTTGTTTTTATTTTCTCAAGGTAATTGTGACCTTAGAAAATATTTACTGAGAATTTGAGATAACTTCTTAAGGAATGTTTTTAAACATAGTATTCAACCCAAATTTAACTTTTCTTTCTCTCTTTTGAAATCAAAGAAGTCTGACAAATATTGGTAAGCTAGACCTCAATAAAATCAGTCAAGTGCACTTTCTTTTAATATTAATAGTCTTTTACTCGCATCAAATTTCTGTCTTTTAAAACATAGAGGATAGAAAAAGAAGGCTTATGCTATTTTTTCACTGATATTTTGCTATTAATTTCAGCATCGCTACATGTGCCTACATTGTTCTCCAGCTGTCACATCTTACATCCCATGACCCACTCTACCTTATTTTATTGAATAACGGCAACAGGTAAAGCAAGTGCAGTTGTTTCTGTTATTCATTTTAGGAACTTGACAGCAACTGATCTTTGACATAATAGTTAGGAATATTTTCCTTTTACCGATTTTCGTTGTGAACCCTAGTGACGATTGCATATCTAACATTACGATTGGTTCATACCTATTTTACTCCCATCCAGTTCTTAAACTTATTATATAAAAGTTATGTCTCTGCTATACCTTTAATTCCAATCATATTTTTGTATTCTCACTTATTAAAGAATGAATCTGAATATCTTACTTGAGCTGAACATGCAATGACTTAAAATCGAATTTTATTTTCTTTCAATTCTTATCCGAATTTATATTGTATTCTCATTCCATTTCAGCTGAATTGAAATTGACCCAAACTTAGCCTAAATACGTATATAAGAGTAAAAACAACACATAAAAATAATTATGTATAGTATGGTGGTGTGGCCAGCGAAGCATTGATATTAGTTGGTTGGCTAGAATTTTTGAGCAATTGATTTGGTAGTACCATTAAACTATCCTTGCGTCGTATTATCTAAGATATCTAGCATTATGTAATGGAGCTGTTATGGTGTATCCGACGTGTAACTTAATGATGAGTATATCTATATTTAGGTGTAAAGTAATTATGTAATGATGATTAGTAAATTAGGAATTATTATTAAGTTAGGAATAGGAGAAGGGTAGTTAATAGAGTGGATATTTACTAGGTTTTAGATAAGTTAGATAAAGTTCCAAAATGAAATCCTATTGTGAGGCAGATTATGAATGAAGAAAAAATTTATCAAGTTTTGAGTACTTTTCTTACTCAATAGATTGTCGGAGTCTGTCTTAACGAGGCCGTACCTAGATATAGGTAAATGATGGAAGACACAAGAATATAAAAAATCTATTGATTGTCATGTTCACCGTCCCACAACAAGATCCATCAACAGGAACCCTAACAGAGGCTTATTATATGTTCATTAGTTTTTGGGGTGTAGATTTGTCTTTCATATTTTATGGTTTCAGTTTTTCATTGAAGTTTTGTGATGATTAATAAAGATTAAATATTCAGTGAGGAAAAATCTAAGAGGACCAGAGAATTATGTAAATTTGAACGTATAAAGAAGCTATGTTCTATCATATATGAACTGGAACTGTTTCGTTTACATACAAATTTTTGGAAGTTTTCCTGCCTTTTCTACGTCTGCATTGTATATGGTCCATCCGTTCTCATAATGACCATGACTTTGTTTCATCGGCATGATGTAGAAAGTTCAAACTACGTCTTTATTGAGTATACTTAAGGATGAACAAAATGGAAAAATGAAAATCTGAGTAATTTATCTGTTTCCTCTAGCTAAATATAGAAACCAGTTAATATCAGTCTACACTTTTGGCATCAACAACGCTGCTCCCACCCCTTTCCCTCAGAAGAAAAAGAAAAAGAAAAAGAATCATTTTATAGTGTTGGTATGGTACTCTCTTTGCAATTGTCTGTTCTTTTGTTTTCTCTGCCAGATGATGTTATAGTTAGCTGATGGTTCATTGTAGGGCAGAAAACAGGTATGAGCGGACTTGATGGTGAGAAACTGCAACAATAATGCAGCTGTTAAGCCAGAAGAGTTTGGACTGCTCTGGGTAGACAAAATCCACACAGGTTTGACAGCACCTCTACATATATATATATATATACACCGATCTGATTGGTTTGGAAAATTCCTTTATCATGTACAATATATACAATATCCTGAGAAACATCCAGTTGTCTATTCCAGATCTTGTGTATCACGGATTTTTTGAATTTCATGTTCATGTAAATTTACGTCTGGCGCACTATTTGAACACTCTCGAAGGGTTGCCTTTAAGGCAATATTGGCATGTCAAGTTAGTCTTAAACCTATCTCTTCTCAGAGATAAGTTCTTCTGAGGTATTTATAGCTGATATATGATTGAGTTCCCTGAACTTGTCCATTTGTTACAAATGTTAGCCTTTTATCCAGGTGGATGCTTACTTGACTTTCTTTTTCCTTCTCCTTTTCTCCTTCCCTCCCTCCCTCTCCTCCCTCCTCCCCCCACCAAAAAAACTCTTTCTTTCCTTCCTCTGCAACTCTCTCATTTCCTTTTTTCTATTTTCTTTTGATTTCTTTCTAATTCTGTTTTAATTAATATTTTAAAGACTAAATAAGTTTAAAAACATTAAAATAAATAATAGAACAATTTTTAAGTAGTAAAAGAAGTTTTTAAAGAACGGTTAGGATGGAGGTTGTTGTCTAAAATGAAAATTTTGAAGAAGCTTTCAGAATCTCAAAGTTCACACTCATACTTAGTCGTCAGCACAACCTCATCGTTGACTAACCTCCAATCTTCTTCGAAAGTTGATCAATAGATTGTCAGAAAGGCTTGCTCGTGCCTTCAAACTTGAGAGAACAAACAGAGAAATAAAAGATTTTCTTGTGACAATATGTTTTGTTTACGATATTCTTTATTCATAAAGGAGATACCTATTTATAGGTTATAAATGGCGAGAAAAACGAGCAAGAAAGGGAGGGCACTGTAACGGTCGAATAGCCGGTGGGTGACAACCCTAACCCTAATTCGTTACAGAGTGAAAAGATTATTTTATTCCTTTTATGAATTATCTTAATCCTTCTTTTTCTCTTCAGAGATTTTTGTATTAGTAAAAATTTGTTGATGCGAAGAATAGAGAGAAAAGAGAATCTAATCAAAGACTAAACTGTCTGCTCATTCTCTCTCTGCAAAGCAAGAATCTAGGCAAATCCAAACTACAGGTGATGGATGATGGGTTTAAATGGATGAAATTGTGATAAGAAATCTGTCAGGAACAAACAAAACCCATGTAAATTACTAATCTTTGACAAATTACACACACACACAATGTATCCCATATGAACTGATTTCTGATTGAGTATATTAAAAGTAAAATTTGACAAGTACCCACTTACTTCCATGCCGAAGGTAGTGAGTACTTTTAATTATTAAAGAGATGAAAAAGCTATCGAAGATAAATTGATAGTTTCCATGATAAGTACAGGCTGCATTTGCAGAACCCTTTTTGTTTCTTTTTCATTATCGTCATTGAATTCTTCGGTATTTGCTTTCGAGATAAAAGCTGAAAATGGGTGGTTTGGAGAATCGATGAGATAGTTTATTCAGTTCGGACCTTCGCTTAGTTTCATCCTATCTTCATTCTGGTTATAGATAGATTGTACAGGTTCGGATCAATAAACAGAGATAATTTCATTCAAGTTTTATCCTAATTATAGATTAGATAATCTAAACTTGAGTCACCTGTCTATAAGTCAGACAGCTTGAATTGTAATTTCATATAATAAATATTAACAGACAGTTGAATCGGCGAAACCACGTGTCAGCTTGTTAACACAGCTACGTAACAACGTCGGATGACCCGGTGGGAACCACACGGGACCAAAACCCCTCTCTTTCAAATACGAGAAAGAAGACAACCGACACTAAAATAAAAGCGCAAAAGAAAAGTTTTTTTTCTTTGGTATTTTTTAAAATTAAATAAATTAAAAAAAAAAAAACAAAAGACAGTTTTCGGTGGGTCCCACGTCGTACATTTGTCGAATGCCACGTCACCTCAAACCCACACGTGCGTTTCGTCAATCGCCACGAACTCTACCACCCAGCAAAACCGAAACCGATTCGGTTACGTCACCTCTCTCTGTCTCTCTGTCTCTCTCTCTCTCTCTCTCTCTCTCTGCTGTTCTGGCTCTCGTATATAAACCTTCTAACTTGCAACTCCTCCTCCTCTCTATCTCAGAACGAACCAAAAAAGGAAATCCAAAAAAAAAAAAAACCGAAAAAAATCCAAAAAATTAAAAAAAAAAAAAAACAGGCACTACCATTTATAGATTCAAGAGAGAAGGATTTAAAGAAAACCCTAGCCCATTTCAATCTCTACTCATTTCGTTTCGAATTCTCTCTCTGTGCGGTAACCGTTTTTTTTTTACTCAGCACATCACAGAGAGGAGATGGCGGCAGCGGTGGCGGCGCAGTCGGCGACAAACCCAGTGGCTCTTGCTGCCGCGGCAGGTGCGGCTGCGGTGGCGAGCGGCTACGCGAACGCTTCTCTTTACGTCGGCGATCTGGACCACAGCGTCAACGAGAACCAATTGTACGATCTCTTCAATCAGGTCGCTCAGGTTGTCTCCGTTAGGGTTTGCCGCGATCAGAGTAGGCGATCCTCTCTCGGTTACGCCTACGTCAATTTCAGCAATCCTCTTGACGGTAAGCGTCCTTTTTTTTTTCTTTAATCCATTTCATCGGATAATCGTGAATGTACCTTAATGTGTCTGTATATCCGACTGTTTGGTTGATCGGTGATGGTTGATCTGAGATTTATCGTTAGTTGTTCTGTTTGTTTGGGGAGATGTTATGTTTTTTTAGTTTATCAGAAGCCATTTATACTTGTCTTCTTGCTGTGGGTGTGTCTGCTTTGTTTTTATGGGTAAAGTGGAGAAATTTGTTTTCAGAATCTCTGGATAATATTATTTTATTTTATTTATTTATAGGTAGATGGGACAGGATGGTTTTGTAAAGTCACTGTTTGCTTCTTTTTAATTATGTATTCTTCTGTCTGTATCAGTCTATTGTTTATACTGTTTATATTGTCTAACTAGCTTTTTTTAATTATGTATTCTTCTCTGTGTATCAGTCCATTGTTCATACTGTTTATATTGTCTAGCTCTCTGAAAGGAAGAATGGGCATATATCAATTATAAATTTTTTTTTTCTTTTATTATTTTTTTTTTCTCTGAATTGCTGTCTGGACTAAACTTCTCTAGGCCATCTGCAACTTTTCCAATCCATCAAGCATTGCATATTAACATAGTGACAACATAAAATATATACATTATATGTAATATATCTTTAATCCTCAATCGTAACTGTTTCTGTGAATAACAGCTGCTAATGCCATGGAAACTCTGAATTTCACACCAGTCAATGGCAAGGCAATCAGGATTATGTTTTCTCACCGGGATCCTAGCATCCGGAGAAGTGGATATGCAAATGTCTTCATCAAGAACCTGGACACATCTATTGATAACAAGGCATTGCATGACACCTTTGCTGCCTTTGGGAATGTACTCTCCTGCAAGGTAGCTGTTGATGGGAATGGACAATCCAGGGGATATGGGTTTGTTCAGTTCGAAAACGAAGATGGTGCGAATAACGCAATCAAACAGTTAAATGGCATGTTGATAAATGATAAGCAGGTGTATGTGGGACTTTTTGTCCGGCGCCAGGAAAGGGCTACACCAAATGTCTCACAGAAGTTCACTAATGTCTATGTGAAAAATTTGTCAGAAACTATGACAGAAGAGGACCTTGAGAAAATTTTCATCCCATATGGTACCATCACCAGTGCTATTCTTATGAAGGACCAGAGTGGGAAGTCTAGATGTTTTGGTTTCGTGAACTTTCAGAGCCCAGATGCAGCAGCCACTGCAGTGGAGAAATTGAACGGGACCACTATCAGTGACGAAAAAGTGCTGTACGTGGGAAGAGCTCAGAGGAAAGCAGACAGGGAAGCTGAGTTGAAAGCTAAATTTGAACAGGAAAGGCTCAGTAGGTTTGAGAAACTGCAAGGTGCAAATTTGTATCTGAAAAATCTTGATGATACCATCAATGATGAGAAACTGAAGGAGTTATTCTCCGAATTCGGAACTATCACATCTTGCAAAGTAAATCCTTCTGTTTAAATGAATTGTAAATTTTAGACTATTTCCTTGTATTCGCATCATCGTTTGGGTTTCTGCCATCCAAGTAGTAACATGTTTCTTTCCTTTGGCAGGTTATGGTTGATTCTCAGGGCGTGAGCAAGGGGTCTGGTTTTGTTGCTTTTTCCACCCCAGAGGACGCTTCTAAAGCAGTAAGTTTAAATTTTTCATTAAACGTTTTTGCTTCTAACAATCTGATAGGCATATTCTGCCTGCTTACTGGTCTCCCATTTCGGTTTTGCTAATGCGTAAATTGTTAATGTTACTTCTTTTTCAGCTGATTGAAATGAATGGAAAGCTTGTTGGAAGGAAACCTCTTTATGTTGCTGTGGCACAACGCAAAGAAGAAAGGAGGGCTCAGCTGCAGGTGATGATCTTCTTATATTTGAACTTTCAGTCTTACGCAAGAGTGTGGATGTGTCAACTAATACTTCTTTTCGGCTGTAAACACCAGAAGTAGAGCCGTTTTGTTATTCTGTCATATTCTTTTTAACGAGATAAGTTAAAAATAAGATGAGAATTAAATCGAAAAACAGGACTCTAGGTTTTTTGAAAAAGTTGCTCTGCAGTGAACTTATCCTCGAAATTCTATATCTACTCAGGTTGCATTTGATTGATTTCCTTTTCAATTCCTAGTTTTAATTTTTCACGTTCATCATAATATGTATAATTCGAAATAAATTTGTGTATGACTTAGCACCCTCTCACCTTCAATCGTTTGAGGATCGGAATTCAATTCTTTCCTTTCAAGATAGGGTTTTGATGGCAACTCTAATACAATAAATCATGTTCTAATTATGCATATTAAAATTGATATGGAAATTAAAATTATGAACTGAATGTGAACCACTGTTACGGAAATCTTTGAGTTCCTTTATCTGAATTGGTTTTTGTCGCCCTTTACTAAATGAGGATTTACAATCTCTTTCTCAGACCTTCCGCTGTATTCTGGCATAATCTAGAAATATAATTATTACTCGTGATAAATAAGCACATCTTTACTTCTTTTTTTCCTTCAAATAATTTATTTCCCAGCTCTTCTGCTTATTTAAATCATTTCTTTTCAGGCACATTTTGCTCAGATCCGAGTACCTGGTGGGCTCTCACCTCTGCCTTCTGGAATTCCTGGGTATCATCCTGGCGCACCTAGACTTCCTCAGCAGCTGTACTATGGTCAAGGTGCTCCTGGTCTGATGCCCCCGCAGCCTGCAGGGTATGGATTCCAGCAGCAACTCTTGCCAGGAATGCGTCCAGGTGGCCCAAACTTTGTTATGCCATATCCCATGCAAAGGCAAGGACAACCAGGTCAGCCTATGGGTGGTCGTCGTGGGGGAAACCCCCAGCAGATGCAGCAGCATCAACAGGTAATTTTTACTTTTCTCTGGTGTATTTACCTAGTAGTCAATTATCAAAGATATGGCTAGAGGGCAATGGTGTTAGCCTTTTATGGACTCACATTCAATAATTGAGGTTTGCAGGCGGGTGTTGTTCAATTTAAATCTAGAAATGTTGTGTTTCCTAACCCCTAGTGCGCATGTTGTCAAATTTAGCTGTTTCACCGGAACTCCAATCAAGGGTATAGATACATGGGAAATGGAAGAAATGGAATAGACCCAGCTGCTGTTCCTCAGGGTATTGTAGGGCCAATCATGCCCATGGCGGCCTTGGATGTTTCCAGGATGCCTCTAGCTCCTATCGAGGTCCAGCGACATGGCCATGTGCCCATTTCAAAGCTTACATCTGCATTAGCTTCTGCAAGCCCAAATGACCGTACAATGGTAAGCAATCATGTTCTTTTGGCTCTTGTGGGTCAGTTTTTTCTATAGGACAAGGGATAATCCACAACTGATATGCTCTTTGTCCATTAATTTGCAGATGCTAGGTGAACAACTGTACCCTCTAGTGGAGCGTCTTGAGCCAAGGAATGTATCGAAGGTGACAGGAATGCTGCTCGAGATGGACCAGACAGAGATTCTACATCTTATTGAGTCTCCAGATGCTCTGAAGAAGAAGGTGGCTGAAGCAATGGATGTCCTCCGGCAGTCGGGAGCATTAAATCTAGACGAGTAGGTTGGATAACTGGCAGAGCACAGAGTTCTGTTATTGAACGATTCATTTTTGGATATTGTGAGCCCAGTTTTAGCAGGGCTTCAGGAAATGGATGATTTTTAGGATGGTTTTTAATTATGCCAGGTGGTTTTCTGGCAACTGATTTAAGATTTTTTTAGGGTTTTAAAAGGATTTAAATGTAAGATTTCTGGTTCTTTAAACCATTATTTTTATTATATTGTTATAATTCTGATCTCTCTGTCTAAGCTTTAATATGCTTAGAGAAGTAAAACATGTAGAGTTGGAGATGTCACGATAAAGAAGCAGAAAGCTTCACATAAAATCAGGGTGGACTTCATCTTCTACCTTTGTACCAAGCAGCAAGCCAAAATCAGGGTGGACTTCATCTTCTTCCCTTGTACCGAGCAGCAAGCCATCATCCTCTATTGTCATGTAACCATTCCATTTGGAAGTCTTCATGTTCATCTTGTTATCTGCAGAGTAATTGGTCGACGATGACGTGCTTTTTGCCACTGATCTTTTTACACTGTTAGTATGATGCCTGAGCCAGACGACTTTGAATCAAAATGAAGAAAGAAAAGCTTTTAACCATACCATGCTTATTGATGTTATTTCTCTTTGGAAAAACCGGCTTGTAAACCTCTTTGTCATCATCACTTTCTCCATTACCCGACCCACCTCCATACTTCTTCAATTTAGGCTTCTTCAACATTTCTTTTGGCAACTCCGTCACAACCCTACGCTCAAAATCCCCACCTACACGAACATTCTTCTTCTTATGACTAGATTCAAACAACCGAACACTTTGTGGTCATTAATTATTACTTACCTTCTTCTTCTTGATTTAGTTTCTGGTTGGGATCCGGGAGATCGAGGTACTCCCTCCAATCAGTGCGCCTCTTCCTCTCGCTCCCCTGAGCCAAACCAGTATTATTATTATCATTATCATTGTTGTTGAAAGAGATACAGTCAGTTGCTTTGCGGGAAATGTTAAAGGACTGCACAAAGAGGCGGAGGTCCTTCGCCACGTGGCCTTGAGCGAACACCTTCTTCACGGACTGTTTCTGGTTGCATACCACGCAGGTCCACTTGTTGCTGCTCTTCCTCCGCTGCTTCACCTGTCCCACACCGTTCTCAACATTTTAATTTCGTGGACAACAAATTTTACTGCAATTCCACAGAAAACAGACGATAATGGAAAGAAAATGAATTTTCAAATTTGTGGAGAACTACAAAATGCCATCACTCTATGGAGAACTACAAAACTCGCTCACACATATACGGCTACATACGCCTATACATACACAACTGTACTGTAAATTTAAGCAAGCAGAGGAAACATGAAGAGAGAGAGAGAGAGAGATAGACAGAGAGAGAGATACTGGTATACCTGCATGATGGAGCATTGACAACATTGAAGGGCGATGAAGATGCTGCTGGGCATTTCTACTGTTTTTCTGGAGAGAAGAGATTTAGATTCCTTCTTGTGTCTGCTCTTCTGGGATGGGCGAGGGATTAATTACAGGGTTTTGGTGAATTTGATTTTTTGGTATTCCTCCATTTTTTGAGTTTTTGGCGCCCACTTTTCGAAAATTTTCCTTTTTTTAATTAATTAAAATTTTATAATATTATTACGTCAACTATATTATTCTATTTTAGTCCCACTACAAAAAATTCTCTTCTTGTCTGTCTATGAGTTAAAATTATATATGGGCTTTATACATACATACATATTATAATTTATTTATAGAATTTAACATTAAATTCTTAAAAATAAAATTACTTTTTACCCTGTTAATTCTAATAATTAAGTGGATGCCTACTGTCTTAATGTTTTATTTTTTTCATTTACTTTGAAACTATATAAAATAATTGATAACCGTTATAAAAAAATTATATATTTTAATAGAATTAATAACTTTAAAATAAATTATAAAATTATAATATTTATAAAAATTAAAATATAATAATATAAACGGTTATCAACACATTTAATTATCACGAACGTGTTTTAATCTATTTTCTCGTCTATAAAATGAACACAGTTTAAAATTAGAATTTACCTACACATTTTATTGTAGTACAAAATTACAATAAAAAAGTATGAGAAATACAATAAAAATAATAATTTGTATATAAAAATTTAGGGTTAACGGTGATTGATTAAAATTAATTTAATTGATGAAATTGAACTAATTTATTAAATTAATTGATTCGGTCGATTATTTTAAACTACGTTATTCAATTATAAGTTAAAATTTTGAATATTTAATTTTTAAAATTATTTAAATGTTATGCATATTAATTTATAAAATTATAAACAAATTGGGATTTAAAATGCAAAGAATAATATCTAAGTTTGCTTAATACTTTTATTACTTTTTAAGTTGTATACGATGATAGATTTAAAAAAATTATAAACCAACTATATATTAGTTTGTAATTAACATGACTAAATATAAAAAAAATGTTAAAACTAATCTTATATATATGTATATATATATGCAATCATCGGGGCATTAAGTCAAAAAAAATATTAATCATTTTCATAATTTGTTCAATCTATACATAATATATATAAATATAATCTATACATAATATGTATATAAATCTAACTTATTGATTTTTTGTTATAGTTAATAATTACAATAAATTAATAGAACCAATAATAATTTAATTATTTGAGTCAAAAGGGTATTCAAATATGTTAAACACATTGAATATAATATGTTGAATTATTAGATGTTTGACAATAATAAAATAATAAATTTTATGATTAATAATAATTTAATCACATTTAGTAATATTAATATATATATTAATATGATCTTCTCATATTATATATTTTACATAATACTATTTTAATTATATAAGATAGATAACTTTGTAAATATATAATAATAACAAAAGTATGTGATTAACATATATTATTTATATTCAACAAACATAGTTTTCATTAATTTTTTTTACATAATATATTTTACAAATTCAAAAATAAAATTAAAATAATTATAATTTAATATAAAGTATGTATTTCAACAAAAAAAAAAATAAATGTATTGTATATCAATAAACTAATTTTTTTAAAAAATAAAAATAATATTTTAATATAAAATTATGTTATTTTATTAATTAAAAATAATATTGTAATTTCAATCATCCCATAACTGTGTCTGCCGTTGACCGGACTCACCACAAGTAGGCAGCAGCAGGCAGCATCCGCGACTCAACAACCGTGGCTGCCGCCGAAACCAAAAACCCTAAAGCTCTCGCTCTGCTTCAATGTCTTGAAGTAGGAAAGATGTCTTTACACTCGCATATTGAACAGGTGCTATTTCCGGAGGACCAAATCGCCGAGCGAGTGAGTCAACTCGCCTCTGAAATCACAAACGACTTCAAGGATGAGTCTCAGCCGCCGGTCCTTGTCGGTGTGGCTACCGGTGCATGCCTCTTTTTGGCCGACCTAATCCGCCGTATCGATTTGCTCGTCTCGGTCGACTTCGTTCGAGCTGATTCATATGGCTCCGGCACCATTTCTAATGGGGCTCCCAGGATCTCCCTTGACTTGAAACTCGATGTCAAGGCCAAGCACGTTATAGTGGTACCTCCCTCTCTCTCTCTCTCTCTCTCTGCACATATAGTGATATATCTACACGTATTACTGTCTATGAATTGGTGGCTGTTGGAAAACTAAACTTGATTTAATTTTGTTGGAAAATTGAGCTGGAATTAATCTTGTCGGGGAATTAAGCAGGAATTAGTCTTGTTGGAAAATTAAGCTGGAATTAATCAACAATAAAGAGGGGGAAGGCAATGGGGCAGCTTTGGTGCTTATATATAGAGTGTAGACAGAAGAGAAAAAACATATTGGGGTGTGAGGTGAAAGAAAATTGAATGAGATTTGTTAGTTTCAACAACCTGTTTGGGTGTGAAATTGTCTTATGATCGTTGTAAAATTTGTGTTCTTTCATTCTCTTGGCAATTACAACAAAATTAAATTATCAACAGTGGCTTCAGTTTTTCAGTTTCTCATTGTTGTTGTAGTGGCCTGAGTTTCATAGTAGAACGATGAGTAGTTGTGTTTGAAATGAGGAATTAACTTAATTTAGATGGCGTTTTTCCCCTATTGGGTTTTCTTTCTATGAATTTATGTACCCCAAAAAAACAACGTGAGAATTGTATTATCAGAAAAAAAGATTTGTAAAAACTGAATCATAAAAATGGTCACTGGATTCGTTATACTGAGAATAGAGCACAAATGTATCCTTGTTTCAAAATTTGATCCGTTCTCTGAGATGGACTTGTACACAGGAGCAACCAATATTTCTATCTGGGATAACAAAGGTAAATAGTTCTTGCATGTTAATATAATCCTTTGACTGCAAGGAATAGTCTATTATTTATTTTTCTTGAAATAAACTGCAGGAATAGTTTATAGTTCTAAGGAATATGACATTATCTTCTATTATGGGTTATACTGGGACAAACTGACAATTGATAGCTACTATCTATTACTCTTGATTGCAAACAGCCAAGATAATTTGAAACACTATTTATCCGAGTTAAGATTTCAAAGTGACGACTTATGCTTGTATGTGTTTAATAACTTGCCACAATTTGGGTACTTGTGGTCAGAACATGTCCATTTTCAAGAGATTTTTCTAATTCCTGGAAGAGAATTTTGGAGCTGTAGGATGCCTTGTCAGTAATTTAGTGAATAATACTTTGATCCCATTAGACTCGGTATTTGAGGGCATATTTCCTGCAAATGATTTCAATTATTTCATTTCTGGAAGTATATTTTGATGAGAACATTAACTTTAGCAGTTACTCTGCTAACCAGGAAAGTCTTGCCTAAGAAATTTTTAGCGTCTACCCTTACTCTTTGCCATGCACTTGCCATTTGCAGTAAAGTTAGCTGTATAAGACGGTTTGATGTTTAATGCATTAGAATTAAGCCTATATCATATACATGCTTATTTTAGTTTCTTGTGCTATTTATCTATCTGGATTTCACTTGCCAGCTTCATAAGACCATTGAGCTTGATATGCCGTGAATTGCTGAATCTAACAGCACTTTGAGGAATCATAAAATTTTGAAACAGGGATGTTTTAATGCTTCCAATATAAAGCATAATGATTGCTACGTAGGCTAAGTTCCAAAAATGGGCATAGGTTAGTTTAGTCATTATCTTCTTATCTAAACAATAAAAGTAAACCATGTCCTGCGACTAACTTCCCACAATGAATTATTTGATTTATGATCACTATTTTGAGGTTTCAAATATTTTACATTATAGTACTCTCTCATGCCAGGTTGAGGATATTGTAGATACAGGAAGCACTTTATCCTGTCTCATTGCACACATGGAATCAAAAGGAGCATCCTCGGTCTCAGTCTGCACACTCCTTGACAAACCAGCAAGAAGAAAAGTTGAAACCAAACTAGTAGGTCAAGGAAAGTTCTACAGGGGGTTTGAGGTAATTAAAGGTTCATCTTAAATGTTTGAAATGCATATGACACTTAGATTAAGTGCATATTTAAATTGAATTGTGGTATTTTTTATATGACATGATATTATGATTTCATTTAAACATGCATGTAACTAAAAATTATCTATAACATGATTTATACCCGTTTAAAAGAATAAGAATACAAAAGATCTATTTTTATGTAAAAAAAAAGTGTTGTGTGAAAATAAAGGTACAAAGGTTGTTTCCTTTGTTGTTCAATCACATAAAAATTTGGCAGTTAGCTGTCAGTTCAAATATAATTTTCCTTGCCAAGTAGAGAATAAGTATAAAATACAATTATATATCACGTTATACCTGACTTAACCCAAGTATTTCGTAGTTTTTTATGAAATTTTATCATGGTTTGGTTCAATTAACTTATTAGGATCTAGAGCATAGAAGATTGAACCCATAAGCAATTCTTAGCCTATTGCCATTGTTGGCGAGCGCATGAATTTGTTGTAATGTCGTTCTTCGGTGTTGTTTTATGCAGTGTCGGGATCATTTCGTTGTTGGTTACGGGATGGACTTTGCAGAAATGTACAGGAATTTGCCTTACATTGGCATTTTGAAGCCTGAAATTTACAATTGATTGAAGTTGCTTCTACCTTCAGTATGCACAAAGCGTATTTAGTTCCATAAAATTGTTAACTAGCATATGCCCGTGGTTTTACTTATGTTGGGAAAACTGCAATTTTGCTCAAAAGAAGCATCATTTGCAGTGGAATTCTGTAATAATTTGTTGACAGCTTACTACTTGCAAAAATAAATAACTAATATCATAACTAAACTAAAGAAAAAGAATGTAACTAAACCAAGCCGACTCAACTACTAAACGACGCCGTTCACCCTGTTCGAGAAGAAGATGGAGGAAAGAAGAACGACGACGAGACGGGCGGCAACCAAATTGACTCATCTGAGCGCCATAGTCGAACCAGCAAATAAGGCATGAAAGGAATCAGTAAACCACTTTTCACTACTCTCTCTCTCACCTCAAAGCTCCTTTCCACTTCGAAACTCTCGAAACCCACCAAGCTTTTGCCGTCTCTTACTGCACCTTTCTCTTCCGCCGCCAGGCCTGGAATTAAAGACCCAGAAACCCCACCAACTCCCAACAAAAGGGACTCTCTAATTCTCGAGCAATTCAAGCTCAGGAAACTTAAGGGCACTGTAAATGCTGACCCGCAAAGCAAACGGCGGACACCGGTATCGACGCCTAGTTCTACAGGTTTTGAGAAAGCTGGGGGATGCAGTGATGTTGTTTTGGAGAGTGAGAACTGTAGACCTGCAAAGGTGGTTTCCAGTTTCCAAGAACTGGGGTTGAGAGAGGAGATAATCGATGGTTTAAAGGAAATGGGTATTTGGGTTCCGAGTGAGATTCAGTGTGTTGGGATCCCTGCTGTTTTGGATGGAAAGAGTGTTGTATTGAGTTCTGAATCTGGGTCTGGCAAGACTCTGGCTTATTTGCTGCCACTCCTTCAGGTAACTTCAGTTTTCTTGTTTCTGCTTATGGAATTTTGCTTTCCATTGATTCCGTTTATTGGTTCTCTTGATTTGTATCAGCTTCCTGTGACCCAAATTCGATTTTGGGATTCTCCTTCTTGTTGCTTCCTGATTTTGAAACGAATTTATTAGGTTCTTATCATAGTTTTGAGGCAAATTTTCAATCAATATATCCATGATAAGGATCAGGAGCTGTCTTAGGTGTTTGGGATTGATGAATTATTCTGCTAAAGGCTATGTATTTAGAAAATTTTAATGGACGGAGAGCGTGAATTTTTCAGTTTTAAAAAGTTGTTTACTGGCAGATGATAAGTTGATTATGTAAATTCAGATAAGTTGTTGCTAAGCAACATGCCAGTAATCCCAGACACTAAGGAACTTTTGACTTCATGTTTGCTTTTTCTACATTATGAAATTTGCATAATTGGGTGGTGATTTCTAATGGTGTAAACATGAGATTCTTTTCTATATGCTTGGAGCAATCCATTTTAAGCCGAGACTTTGAAAAAAAAAAGACAGAGGCCAGGGATGGTACTGATTTTGCTTAGAATATTCGCACCAATAGAATAAACATCATGTTTACAAGTGGGGAGAGAGATGAACAGAGAGGATTACTTTATGATCATCTTGACATGTTAACTATCATGCAGCTACTTAGACAAGATGAGGCAATAGTTAGCATGAGGCCCAAGCATCCTCGAGCAATTGTGTTGTGCACCACGGAAGAGCTATCTGATGAGGTCGGTTTACCCTCCGTGTTGTTTGAATATCTACTAGATTGTGTTTGGTTTTGTTGCCCATTAGGTTCCTAATCAATTTTTTTTGTCTAATATTCATACCAGTCTTAATATGCATATTTGGAATATAGTGTGTTGTATTTAAGTTACTACCACCCAATCTTGAATTCTGTAAGTTGGGAGTGTTTCTACCATCAAGAAATTCAATATATGGGTCAGTGGGTGGTGATAATTTAAACAGAACTAAGTGTATATTAACTGCCATATTAAGATTGTTATGGGAATTAGAAGTAGAAATTACTTAGGAATTGAATGAGAATTTAATAAAAAGGCTACTTAACAAGAAACAATGTAAATAAAATGTGAGAATCAATTACGGGTGGCACTTTGCAGGGTTTCCGTGTGGCGAAGTTTATCAGTGATTATGCGAAACTAAAATCTACAAAGAAAAACGATAATGACAAGTCAAAGGATCCCGAGTATCTGTTGAATGCCCCAATCGGAATGCTAATTGGTACACCTAGTGAGATTCTACAACACATAGAGGAAGGCAATGTGGTCTGTGATGACATAAAGTACTTGGTTAGTGCTGTCCTATGTGCTTTGAATTTCTCCATACTCTCTTGGCTTGAGAAAGTATGGGGTCAAAAGTTTTCTGGTGAATTGTACATCCTGGTGTATCCTTCTTTAAGACTCTTATATGCTTCTAATAGCTGCAAAATTGTTTGAATAGGTACTGGATGAGGCTGATGCAATGTTAAGCCATGGGTTTCATCGTGAAACTAGAAAGATTTTAAACTCATTAAGGGATCATGGAAGACTGCAAACTGTGCTAGTTACTTCCACCACGGCTGAGGTACAAACCTGGAGTTAGCAGAGTTTTTGGGGCCCTGTTTATCCATTTGCGGTCATATGCATACTTACTGAAAATTAAAACAATATTTGAAAAATGATATTGAAAATATATTGTGAGTTTGAAAGAACAAGAACTTATTCCCAAGCTATATTTTCAACAGAATTTTCAAATTTTCTTTTCATTGTCAACAATTATACATATTTTAGTATTAAAAAATGTATATAAATTTAGAAAATAAAAATTAAATTAACTCCATGATTATTATCTGGGCTTTTTGCTTTTGCTTGGTACAAAAATTAGGTTAGTACGTATTCATGCTTGTTTATCTGTAACTAGGCAGGTTCTTGAAGTATACTGCTGATATTGACAATCTGCAGATTCTGAGAAAAGAAGTATCCCCTGTCATGGAGCGTCTGGAGCACAATCATGCCGGAAAAGTGAGTGCAATATTGCTGGAGGTGGATCAAAAAGAGGCATTTGATCTCCTTGAGTCTCAGGATTCTCTGAACAAGAAGGTGGCTGAAGCTATGGACTCTCTGTATGCAGATGAATTAGGATCTTGATGTTATATCTTCCCAAAATTAATGAGATTTTCTTCCAATGAAATTAAAATTTCTGCGACATGTTTCTAACAATTTTATATCTTCATTTAGTGAATTATCATCTATTTAAAGCATAGTAAAATTTTTTAGATCTTATATTAGATGAACTGTTGTGTGCTCTAAGAACATATTCGTAAGCTTCATCAATGATTATGTTAACAATCTTTGTTTCCTCAAAAACAAATACATTAACTCGTAAACGAATGCTTAAGATTTCACCGATAACAGCAAAGAAAGAAAATTGGAACTAACCCTAATTCCAAATTATTCAATGAACAATAAAAGTAAAAAAAAAATGACAGAAAATGCATAAATAAAAAAAAAATACAGCGAAGAAAATACTAGATACTAGACTAAACTAACTCTAGAGACTTTGGTGTTTTGCCATTATTTTGTTGGTCATCTTCAGGCATGAATCTCTTCCAGAACCAGTGTTGGCTCCAGACAGTTGACATGTTTTCAATGGGGACGCCCTTGGTCTCCGGCAGCAAAAAGAAGATGAAGGTGGTCATGATGGCAACGAAGAAAGCGAACATGAGGAAGAGCCCGAACTTCAATCTGCAGAGCAAGCTGAGGAAGAGTTGAGCGATCAAGAAAGTAAACAACATGTTGACGGACACTGTTATGCTCTGCGTCGCCGATCGAATTCCCAGAGGCGACATCTCGCTCGGTACCAACCATCCCAGAGGTCCCCACGACCATGCAAATGCAGCCACAAACAGACATATGAACACTACTACCAGAACCGCGTACCACGTGGCTAGTTGAGTCGTCTCCCCGGTCACTCCAAATTTCCACCATATAAGTGCTGCTACAAGAACCTGGCATACAAACATCTGTACTCCACCCTGAAGGAATAGAAATCTCCTTCCCCACTTATCAGTTCCATAGATAGATATACTGGTTGCGAAAACATTAACCAGGCCAGTAATGACAGAGGAGAGAAGAGAAGCACTTCCTCCAAATCCTAAAGTTTTGAAAAGCACAGGAGCATAGAACATGACGACGTTGATACCAGTTATTTGTTGAAACAGAGGAATAAAGATAGCCATGATCAACTGAGGACGATGACGCCTCTCTCTCAATTTCCTCCATGGATGTTCCACGGCCTTTGCAGCCTCACTCGCAGCCACCAAGTCTCTGAACTCTGCCTCAACTTCCTCGTCGCTAACGCCTCGAATGCGTCTTAGCATGCCACGAGCCTCCTCTCTTTGGCCTTTCTCGAGCATGGAGTTGGGAGTATTGGGGAGAAACAGAGCAGAGAGAAATACGAAGAGCGCTGGGACTGCGGCACACCCCAAGCTCAGACGCCATCCCAAATCGCCGGCAATTTTTGCAGTGAAGTAGTTGATGATGTTGGCAGCAAGAATGCCGATGGTGATTGACAACTGAAAGACAATGT